ATTGATAGGAATTGATTCTGAAATATATTCCAAACCAAACTCTAAAACTAAATCCAAACATCAACAATTCAAATAAAACGATTCAAAAAAACATGCAATTATTTCGTAGATAAGAACGACAAGAGATTAACAAAAACATGGTCCAAGAAAATAAGAGGAAAATACCTAAGCTGTAGCAAGTAGTTGGAGGATTTTATTGATCTCGACCAAATCGACCTTGTTTTTTTCTTGAAAATATATATATCTATGTTTTGTAAAATTCGAAGCCGAGCTTGGGACCAGTGCTCCGCTCATATCAAACATTTGCCAATAAATAATGGATCTGACAAGTTTCATGAAAATTATCCACACTGAAAATATTCTAAACACTGCCCTTACAGATACGCGCAGGGTGCATGCAAATAACTGGTTACATATAATTTTTTGCAGCATACTGAAAAAGTGCGTAGAATCATACCTCCGAGAGGGTTGGCAAACATTTTTTTCTACAACTGAAAAAAAAGAGCCCAGTAACGAACAATTTTTTGTCTCCCGTACAGGAAAACCGGCTTATTAAATGGCTACAAAAGGGTAAGGAAGTATGTGAATGCTTATAAAGGGTGACGAAATTCGCTTCGTCATATTGTTTTGGCCATGGGGATTGGGGTGTGACTTTGAATAAATTGAATTAGTAAGCGAGACAAAAGCGGTTTGATTTTAGTTAATTGGACATTTCCATGATGATTTTCAATGGTTCTTCCATGCAGCAGTGACAAACAAATATTCGATTATTTTTTTGACTTAGTTAATAATTATGTGTCCAGTTGCGAATATTGCTGAACAAGTTATTCTTTCGCGAAAGAGGAAAAAGTGAATTATGAACACGAAATATTTTCTCAGCGAAGAAAACAACTCTTGTACGGCCTTTACGAATGAAAATAATGAATACATGTAAATTTCCTTTGCCGAATTATTCAGCTTATCATTAAAAAAGATATAAATATACTAAAGCATGAATGAATGCTTAACCTAAAAAGAGGTTCACAATTCAATATGTGATAGGACTAATGTACAGAAAGTAATAAACAAAATCAATTATCTCAAATGTAAAAATTATTAATCACAAGTTCACGAAAGTATCGTACAGAAAAATTAAAATATTCCGTTTTATGGTCAACAAAGGTTCAGTTAATGTGTGTGAAAATATTCCATATTTATTTACAACTTTTTCAAATCGTGATGTAAGTAGGTAGGTAGATATCTCGAAATGTGCTAATCTCAGACATCCTTCAGAAGCGGTTTTAAACTTATTAGCACAGCTTTTATATCATATATATGATATTTAAGCTGTGCTATTAGCCCTCATCAGCTAGGTTTAGCTTGAAAATAATACTCACAAAAGCAGTTTTTTGTTCAAATACGAAACGCTGGTCTCGGAAGTGTTACTTTCAGGCTGCATTCAGTTGATGAAAGCTGAAACGTACGAAACCCGTTCTGGGTGCTGAAAGTTTCACTATTCTTTAAAATTTCTCTGGTTCACCTTATACGTTTTTTATTTGTATACAGATGTGTTATCGGGAACAGTTTCCTGTCAGTTTTTACGCTAAATTTTCAAATCCTTTTTGCTTAATTAAAACAGCCATTCTGAGACCCCCATCCAATAGTTTTCAAGCAAGATTTCCAGAAAGCTAGTTTACAACTTGTAAGCAAACGTTTTCTGTTACGACTTATAAATATTAGTTTAATTTCCGGATCGTGTTATTTACAACATGGCTTTTAAAGCACCCTGTTCAGTGGTTATTTTTTCGGAGATAATTGGAGCTAATTAAACAATTAAAGACTTAAATTAATAACAAAGTTTCCAAAAGTATTTTAAGTGAAATTTGCTTTGATTGAAGCTTATAGCATTAAAGTTGGTTAATTTTTATTGATAGTTTGAATGCAGAGAAAATTATTATTGATATCTTTAAAAATAACATCCTATGTAAACTGAATTTAAATATAGCTAAACTCTTACCATAGATTTTAAATAACCAGCTGCCTGATCTGTACCGTATAAAAACCCCTTAAGCTCTTAACTATTGGGAAAAAACAACATTCTATGAAAAATCACTAATCACGACATTTTTCAAATCTCAAATAATAGCAATAGTCATAAAATCTTCCTTGTTATTCCTTTATTAGAAAAAACGAGTTTGTCGGGGAACTATAAATAATTACACCAAAGGCAAAGAGCAATAGACATTATCAAAAATAATATTTGTTTCAATATCCAAATATCAATCCAATCTTTCAATTGGTACTTCGTAAACTAACATAATTTTCAAAATCATCAGCATATGCATATGTTAGGACATCTAGGTGTTAGTTTAATTTTATACAGTCACAGTGAATTATGCATATATTTGATATTGGTTTAGCGACGAAATAAATGTATGTTTATTAATGCTATGCATCAGATAATTGATGTTTTGGTAAGCTTAAATAGCGCTATTAAACGTTTATAAAACATTCCAAAACAACTCACAGCAGTGAATTTTCGGAACTATCTAGGGAAAACCTACATTTATGCTGCATTCAGGACATTAGTTAATTTACTGCCACTTCGTGCGATCGTACTCGAGAATCTTTCTGAATTTATATATTGCTTTATAATTTTGCCGCCGCTTATAGACTGTAAGAAACATAATTCCAAATAACTCTAGTAGTTAAATTGAAAAGAGGTCTGACCGTGCTTGTGTTCTTTTAGAGTATGAACAAGTAAATGTTTGAAGCAGTTTTAAAAAAAGCGCAGGCTAGAAGCCGACACAATAATCCTGGTCGAAAGAAAAATGTGTTGCGTCTTGTTTGGCACTTTAAATAAACTTCCTGAACAAATATGTCCAGGGGAACAAAGCCATTGTGGGCAATGGTTTTGTTGAAACCATGACATACCAAACAACACTATTAACCCCAATATGGCACGGTGGCTACTGTAGATTTTACCCTCAATAAAAAATATAAATCTTTGTTAATCCGGAACGCTGCAAAACTTTCTCCCTCAGTCTAAGCATTTGTTTCATCAGGTAAACCATGACTCGTCTTTTAGGTCGTTTCACCCGGCTTTTGTACCGAACGGAACTTTGAAGAAACAAAACGTAGTCAAAACGGCGTTTAGAACTGTAGACAAATTCATTGCGTCTCCGAATGATTTATGAACGTTTCCTACAAACGGAGCCTCATGGTATACAGAATAAATTAAAATGTCAATACGTTTTGCTAGCAGAAGGCAATTTGGATCCGATAAATCTGAGGACAAAGGGGGCCACGTAAAATCGGCGACATGGAATGCTTTTTTGATTGCATAAGGGGACCAGGAAAAGGTTAGATAGTTTACGATGAAGGGTTATGGGGAAATCTTGGTTGTGTTGTGTACCTCACACAATAGTTACTTTCATCTTCCATGCGAACTACAGGGCAATACTAGTCAAATAAATTTGAGACAATGCACAATGTTAAAGAAACCCAAAATATTGTAGATTTGACTCTTTGATGAGTAGCACAGGCCGTTTTTGGAGGATGTTTCCTTTCTTGTCCGGAAATGTTCCATGCATATTATTAACTTTGACATGTAACACACAAAGTAGACTTGTAGGAAACTCTTGGATAAGAACAGAAAGAAATATAAAATAATTTTACAGCAGTTTTATCACAAAAAGAACCAGCAAAATGAAAATGCACGAACTGCAAAACACGTCGTCAATCACTTCCTTATAGGAAAAGTAACCCTGCAAAGTCGACTATGGCCAAATAATATAAAGTGAAAGTCTGGAGATGTACATATAATACGGTGAACTTTTAAAATGTGGGACTAAAAAACTATTCTCCCCGTTACCCTGTTAAGAGTTAATAACGGAATGGAAGAGTGCATATGTAACCCCCATCATAGTCACAGAAAGGTATTCGTAACATTCACGGCTGTCAGAATATATGGGAAAATAATTAAAACAAAAATTCAGAAAGATGCATACGAATGCAAAAAGTAAACAAATATCCCGTTTTTGGATCGGTAGATCAACCACTGATCATATATTTTCGATACCGCAAGTGATGAAATGAAAGCACTGGATCAGGAATTGAACCGATGAACATAAAGCGAACAACGGTCCGAAAAGAAATGGAGACAAGCAACCTTAATGTGGATTTAATAAAAGCAAGTAAAAACTTTATGCAAAGTGTTTAAATTAAAGCTAAATGTTGAACAAAAATATCAAACCTCACAAGGGACTCAAACAGCTCACAACTTATAACGTTCGTGAATAAATCCTGAAAACCAATTTTTAGAACCGAAATATAGCTCTGATTTGATCTTTAAAATGCTTGCACCATTCTGAATTATTTGGTTTTTAAGCGTCCAGTTCATAACAAAGCGAGTGAAACATTTGAAAGGGTTTTCAGTTCAATTCTTACTTGCAAACGACTGACTAAATTAAATTGAACAAAAACTTGATTCTAGTAGAATTTTTTAGAAGCTAGCAAAAATTAGGGGAGAGTTGAACATCACTAAAAGAGTAAATATGTGCACTTGAAACAAATAGAGCTGCAAAACATTTTAAAATCATCAAATAAAACAGTAGGTATTGAATATCAAAAGTTTACCACTGGCTGAAGTACTCGCAAAGAAAGGAAGACTTGAGGAAGAAGACAATTCATCTAATAAGTAATGTCCTAAGAAAGGAAAACACAAATTAAGATAATAACAAAATAATATTTAATAACTCTACGAAAAGATTTCTGAAGGAAATCAGCAGCTCGGGCACATACAAAGAAAGCAGAGTATGAGAATTCAAAAACTGATCTTAAGTACAAAACCTGCAGGGAAGCGAAAGAGAGATGCCAAGAAGAGATGACATAACGACATTTAACGGTATACTCTGGAACAACACGGAAGGGTGGAAATAATGATCTAACGGCGCTGAACGTTGTAAGCCGATATATTTAAACATTCAAATCGAAAAATTTGAAAATTTAGTTTCACTTACTTCTTGGTTCCAACCCATATAATGTGACATGGCGGGATCCATGTGCTCTGCCATGACACTCATCCAGTGGACAAGTCCCTGAGCACCTTGACCTCCCATGCCTCCACTTTGAGGTCCTGCAGGACTGCCTCCAGTTTGCGATGTGTCCCATCCGAAAGCTTTCTGGAATAAGCAAAAAATAATTTAAAATTACTCATTTTCTGGTGAAACACTTTAACATTCCTTTGCACTGCGGTTTTTACGACCAATAATCATCTGTAACTTCTCCAAGCCCCCTTGTAATAGATTCCATGAAATAATATATTAATCATACCAGAGCACTTAAATGCATTTACTGACCATTCCCTCTTCTTGAAAAATATCGTACCAATGTCTAACGATAGTTTTATGACTCTACTTTCTGCCGGTTGCTATTTGCCGGCAAAAGCTAATATTAAACCTAAGTGGATAGAAGGTCTGGCTTTCCATAATTTAGATGTCATTTCCGCGGCTAATTCAAATTTTACTTTTGTACAGTCGGCACGGAAAATATCAATTTTTCTTTAATCCAAAGGAAAATCGATGTCTTAATTATGCAATCGCTTTAGAATTTTATAGATGTAATTTATAGGAGGTAGTTTCGTTGTACTTCAAATTGCTAATCATTTTAGGCATATAGATTCGATGGTTTATTATCTACTACAGTTCAGTGCTAACTACAAAACGTTATCTATTATGCCCGTTCACTTTTTGCCTGGGGGCAAAAGCTTTTCATATTCTTCTAAAAACTAAAGTGTTTACTCAATTTCATCTGTTCAGATGACGAGCATTTAAATTTCTCTAAAATTTAGATGCTTGCAAATCAATATATGCCTGGATTTTATTGCCCAATATTTTCACCAAGCTTGTCTATTTTCATCTATTTGGGACAATTTATTTGATTGAATTCTGAAGTTCAACGAGTAGGAGCCAATAAAAACAATCGCGATTTTATTAAACCATTCGTTCACATCATTTGTTAGGCAAATTGTGGCAACAGTTCTTATTAAGAATTTACTGGAAAATTATGAAGTTGGTTCATTGAAATGAAGGGATCGAAGTTTTTCCATCATCCACGCTGAAGAAACCCTTCAAAGGAAAGGCAACGATTCTTCCGAATTGCCGAATTTGAAAGAGTGGGCGTTAAAGAAACCATCCCATTAAACCATTCCATGAAAGTCAAAGCGATGTAAAAACGTAGTAGTTTTCGCAGGGAATCTTTGAATCTAAGTTTACTGGTACCTTCAAAATATACGAATTCCTGCAAAACCACGAAAACTGGTAACATATATTCCTTAATTAAAGCCAGTGATTTCAATACGCATATGTATTTTCTAAATATAATGTTTCATATTGTCATTATTCATATGCCCAACAAAAATTAACATGTGTTTTTCGAGTAAGTCGCTTTATGCTCAAACGAATTTTTTTAGAGCTTTCAGGCTTTAAATAAGTTTTTCGGTCGAGCATAAAAATTGAAAAATGTATTCAATAAAGCTCCTTGCGATCTAAGACCTTTTACTGACTTTGATCACAGTTCTCCCGATTAAGTTTCAACAGTAAAGAGTTTTTTTGTGCCGTATGGCCTCTCAGTAATTCAAAATTTCAGGCATGATCAATTTAGCAGGAGTGATTACAATTGACATGCACAAAATGCTTCTTCCTAAATGAATGAAACGTACGAGTAGAAAATATTAAAAAACTAATGTAAACTTTCAGAACTTTGAAATATGTCCACTGTCTCCATTTTACTCATATATCCAGAAGATTTCGGGAAACGAAGTGGAATTAATGTAAGGAAAAGCGGTTTAAGCGTAAAAGAAAGCACGCTCAAGAGAAAGGTGGTTAAACGAATAAATAACTGGAGAAAAAATATCGACATTAAAGCATTGAAGAACAAACTACAAATAATAGCATGCTAAAAATAGGATATATTATGGCGTTTAGAGTTAAAGTTTTCATGCAACAGACGTAGAATATAGTAAATTAATAAAAAGGCTCAATGAAGAAAGCTGATTTATGGGAGGTGGCCGATGATCATTAAAGCGCCCAGTTCAAACTTGAAACACTGCCAAAACTACCAACAGATCTAGTAAAACAATACCACAGACACAAAATCAAATTAAGATTTTGAATAGGTATAAAATACAAGTAGGAATCCAACAATTAGTCAGCTAGTGAATCAGAAAATTTACCTGTAATGAACAGTGGATTTTAGACCACTCTTAATTTTCTTAACTTTTCACAGTGAAGCTGATTTCATAGTCTTCTTGAAAAATGTTTCTCTTCAATTAAATGAATAGTCACTGGATATAAATTAAAAGTAAATAAAAAACGTGTAAGCTTATAAAATTATAATTTTTTTAAACTTTTATAGCCTACTGCAGAAAGTCGCAACCAATTTACAAGGTTTTCGCTTAAAACAAAACGTTTGAATAATTGTGATTTATCCGGTAGAATAACAAGCGACATTACTGTGAATATGATTTATTAGTTCTCGAAAATAACATTTATAAGTAGTAGTTCTATCAAGAATTCCATTATTTCAGACTTTATTTACACTTTGCATATTATAAGTAGGTATATTAAAAGCTTTATCAATGTAATTTTTGAGCCAAATATTAATGCAATAAAGGCGTTTCTGTCTGTATATAACTCTTTGAGATTAATTACTGTTAGAAAACGAATTTCTTATCATGGACGCGATTTGTGCATTTTTGAAGTTAATTACTTGTCAAGTACCTACTGCGTACTTTCTAGACTTAAATTCGTTATAACAATTGTGAGTTTAGGAGCATCGGGAAGATAGTCTGAATCGAGATTCATTACAACATTGTATTTAGTTTTTTAATTTCGCACATATTTCGGGAACCGTTTTTAAACATTTGAAATAAGAGAGTTACAGACTAGAATAATAGTGTTAAATTTTAGAAAAATAACTTTGTGCATCAAACAAACAGGAATTGATGTAGTTTTAAAACTTCCGTTAGCCACATATATGGATACAAAGCCTTTCTGTTCAATTCCAAAATTATTTCATCATTTCATCAATTTCTACTCGAGTTCGGTGAAATAGTTGGTATTGGTTTGGTCACGGAATAACAAATTTACTAGGCAAATTTTTTATCACTGAAAAGTGACACAGCTGTTCGATGTAAATTAATTATATTTCTAATTTGAAGACAACAGAAACTTGCTAACGTACATAAATACAACTTTATTTCACGACTCATTCCGATAAAAGCTTTGTATTCATCACTTTGAGCTTTCGGTTTTATAAATAACTCTACGTACAGAAGTGAGCTGCGATCTGTCGTTTTGATACTCTTCGATAACTTATTGCATTAGCAGACTGAAATTTGTTCCACTTGTTGAATGGTTTTTAACAAGCATTAGTTTTGTTGTAATTTTGATCACAGCCCGCATTCACTTGAACTGTGTAATTTTTTCCCGTAAAAGTTTAGAAAAATTATTAATTGGCCATTTTTTCACTTCTCSACGTTTTTTCTATCCCTACTCCTCATAATCGTCCTTCCACGAATTTGACAGTGTCATACTGGAGGTCTTTGCTCATACTTTTACCAAGAGGTTTAATTAAAGATGGATAGTCTAAACTAAGATAGAGAAGTTAATATTTATACTRAGAAGTTTATATTTTAAAATTTACTACCTTTAACCCTAACTGGACCAAAGATTATCRGGASAKGGAGGGAGACACTGCAGAGTGAAAAATGCACCATTTAATCATGAACGGACATTTTAAATCGCTTAAAAATTGTTCAAATAAAAAGGTACATTTTGCTTTTAGACGCTTTTCCAAGATTCAGAAAATATTTGTCGTTTCATAATTGCATCCAATTTTTTAAAATCTTGTCTCCTTAAACACGTTGGGATAATAAACATGCTCTGGCGAGTATACCACAGTGGTTATTAGTTGTGGAGCCACTCTTATTATTAAACCCAACTCTAATAACGCTACACTCGAATAGCCAAAAGTGACACAAATATTATGTAATATACGCCCGAATTGTTTTCCATCCAGCCGACTCCGGTCCTTACCTGATCAAAATCTCTATCCTTTCCGAAAAACATGTTCTTGTAAACATTATTCTTGTCGTCTGCGTTGCTAGTAGCCATCACCGCCTTGGCCAGCAAAGTTTTGTAAAACTGTGTCGGTAACAAAAGTTGGTTGTTGTTGTAGCTGTCCAGTTTATTCATAATTTCGTTGTATTTCAGTGCTGGCTTGTACAAGTTCAAACTTGTTTCATTATTGTTACCGACCGTACCGCAAGAGTCACTAGAGTCCGAGCTATCCATCACCGCTTCCGGTATGGGGCGAATGGTCGTCATTTTGGATCCGAATAGTTGTTTGAACATCGAAATGGAGGATTACTGACAAACACTATTGCATGTCTTGTGTCCCAATTTAAATATTACTAATTATTGCATGTAAAACCACATGGAAGTGTGTGATCAAGTACCAGTAATAATGTACTATTTCCTTATTCCTTAGTTTGTGAGTATCTTGACAATAGCTATGTACGAATATGTTAGGTAATTCTATTTCACTTCGACGAATGGTATTAAAATATCAAGCTTTTCTCTAATGTAATAAAATATGTTAATCTACTACATTTCTTGCTTATTAATAGGAACTTGGTAGACTGTGAGGAACTATGATGTTTTAGTGTTGCTGTTCGAGCGTCTCTAACCCATGGGTTTTGTGGTTTTACAAAGTTCGTATGTAATACAGTCGGATGTTTCTAAACACTTTTAGGTTCTCTGAAACAGCACCAATATGATTTCAGGAAAGAAAGTCTTGGAAAGATGCAGCCACGAAATATATCAGATTCTCTGAAAACTGGACATATTCAGCAGTATCATTAGAGCTTCATATTTCTTGGGTATTTAACTTCATAGCAATTTGGGCAATAGCGTAGAATTATATAATTTTATGCGCGAGTGTAAGAAAATTGAGGTTGAGTACCAACAATTACCATTTACTTGAAAATATAGCACATCTTACGTTATTATTTCTACCTGTTGTTGCGAACGTCAATTATATTTATTATCTGACTAAAATTTAAGGTGTTTAAGTGATTTGGCTTTCTCTAAGTTTTATGACTTTGAACGGATTTTT